ATTAAGGATAGAATGGGGAATATTGTTCTTTCGGGTAGATATTTATGTGGTATACATTATTGTATAAATATCTATGTGATATACATATCTATGTGGTATAAACACCTATGGTACACATTGTAATTAAATTTCACATGACATAATTAAATTTATATGTGGTGCATATTGTAATAAAATTACATGTTGTCCATAATTAAAACACTGTAACTGTCACAATTCAGCAAACTCAGATGGTTATATTCCACAAGCAATCAGGTGATGTAAAAGTACTCATGGTAAAGAAACTAATCGAAAGTTTTGGCTTATCAAATGCCATGGTAAGTGACTTATGTATAAAAATAAAGATGATCAGTTAAGTATAACAAAATAAGATCCTGTTTATTATATTGCGTTTTAAAGGACAAACCCTTGGTAGTATAAAATGACTGAAATTCACAGCATGCTTCGAAGAATGCTAAGGCAATATTACAATAAAATATATTTCTTGGTCAAGATATTCTATTTCAGGGGGATAGGAAAACATGGATTGATTTTAATGGGTATGAGGTTTTCCCTTGGAATGATGAAATGTATTTGAATTAGATTGCCATAATGATGTAGGACATTGTGAAGTTCTAAATGCCACTGTACACTATACAATGGTTTATATTATTTACATGAATTTTACCCTCAATAAAACAAAAATGTAAAAGAGGTCTACAGTAGTTGGATGATTTTATTTCAACTAGACGGCTAGGGATGGAGTTAAACAGTCAATCAAGTGGTAGCTTAATGACCCTTCCCTTTGGGGTGAGGGTAGCCTTTTGATATGAGTGAGGGACTCTGGGAACTCCCTCTGCCCCTCCCCATCCCTGCCTACAGTCGCCAGAGCACTGCCATGTTTCCACGGACTTCGTATCCACAAGACTCTGCACCCCCGGCCTGTGATCTTCTTGCCTGTGACTCACCCCTCTGCCTCATCAGCTGACAGACACATGAGTCTGCAGAGGGTCCTGGCTTCCATCAGACTTGTAGACTGGAGTTGGACTTGGCTGGGATGCTTTCTTACATGTTGATATAAAATTATTTCTCATGCATAGAGGGGTGTCATCCTTTTCTTTAGGTAACCATGAAGCCCGAAGATGATGCATGCTTCTAATATATTGTTTTGTTTTGTTTTCATGGTTTATGATTTATTGTTTTAGATCTTCAGTAATCACAAACATTTAAACAGGGATGACGGGAATATTTCAAGGACATATAAATAAGGAACATAACAATATTTTCATCAAAAGGGCAGGCTCATGTGCTCATTCATTTATTGAACACATAATGGTATATATTTTAGATTGTGTAAATATGACACTAAGCAAATCATTCAAAAACAATGCTGATGGTACTTATAATCTAGAAAGGAGTGCTCTAGGGTGCAAAAGAGATCCCCCTCTCAAATATAATTGAAGGGGAACATTCATTAAGTTTTTTTTTCTTTTTTAACATTTTATTAGGGGCTCATACAACTGTTATCCCAATCCATACACACATCAATTGTATAGCACATTTGTACATCATTCTCAAAACATTTTCTCTCCATTTAAACCCCCGACATTAGGTCCTCATTTTTCCCCTCCGTCCCCGCTCCCCCCTCCCGCTTGAGCCCTTGATAGTTTATAAATGGGTATTTTGTCATATCTTGCCCTGTCCGACATCTCCCTTCATCCACTTTTCGGTTGTCTGTCCCCCAGGGAGGAGGTCACACACAGTTCCATGTAATCGGTTCCCTCTTTCCTACCCATTCTCCCTTTACCCTCCCTGTTTTGCCACTCACACCACTGGTCCTATAGGGCTCATCCGTCCTGGATTCCCTGTATTTTCAGTTCCTATCTGTACCAGTGTACCTCCTCTGATCTAGCCAGTCTTGCAAGATAGAATATATTGTTTTTATGTACAATCAAGTCAATTATGGCTTGACCTGGTGGTGTAATGGTTAGACACTAGACTGCTAATCACAGGGTCATTGGTTCAAAACCCCCATCCACACCACAGGCAGAAAGAGAAGACTTCTACTTCCATAAAGACTTATATCTCGGGAAGTGACAGGGGCACTTCTTCCTGTCCTGTAGTATCAGAATCCACTTGATGGCAGTGTGTTGGATTGGAGTTGATCACGTCGATGCCAGCTCACAGGGACACTCTGTGTAGAGTGGAACCACTCTGAGTCATTCTTAGGCTGTCATCTTCAAGGTAGAAGTGTGTGTAGAATCTCAAGAAAGTGAAAGCATTCTTGTCCCAATATTTTCTTTGGTGTAATGAATTAAAATAATAATAATAGCAGAAGTTCTCTCTGTCTATTCAAAGTTGCTCTACCCTTCTGTTTGAGACAAAGAACACATTTCATTATCTCAGCAATTAAATAGCCATTATTAGTAGGGAAAAAACCATGTGTGTGATTGATGCAATAAATGGAATACATTTATTTCTCTCATCAGTTTATTTTAGCACACTTTTTAGCAAATGGAAATAAATGGCTTATACTTTAATTCTGTATGATGTACACCATCAAAGGGAGAATTGGTAATATGCTTGGTGACTATTAACATGGAGCTAGCAGTAGGACCGCAATTACTGCTTGCTTTTTCAGTGGGCACGGGGGAGGAGAATAACAAAGCATCTAACAGCAAGTCTGTTAGATGCAAATGGACACAAGCTTTCCTTCTCTCTTTTCTCTAAACAGGATCCACGTTTGGTATGCAACTTCAATCTGAAGGAGAAAAACATCCAGAAGCATTTTCATTAGGCTATAAATCATGACTGGACAGAGGTAAGAGGTACATGTATGCTATGTTTCCGTAAGTAGTTAGATAGAATGACATGTGGTGGTCCCAGTCTTTGCAAAAGTGTTAGGTTATAATCTGACCAATGGCCCCTTTTTAACCACTCTCTAGACTGACGAGTATCATCCACTACACACAGTAACAGAACCGCAGACATCCTAAAAATTAATCCCAGTGACTCAATATATTTAATCTCAAAGGATTCCACTAGAATGTTTCCTACGTGTCTGCTTCCTTGTCCGCCTTCAGTGGGCATAAGTAGAGGACAGAGGCTTAATGTGTTTCCCTGAAGACCCCATCAGTTACGATCCTTTGGTCACGGGAAGTGCTTTATGAAAGAATGAAAACCTCCCTGTGTGAGTAGAGGCTGCTATTCTGGTGGGATTCAGTTAAATATACTTTGAAATAAAGTTTAGGATAAATTTTTGATAAAGACAGGCCGGTACTATTTGACCTGTTGAGAATTCTATTCCAATCTCCCTGTGAGGTAGTCCCATTGAAGAATTTAGTCAATTAGAAGTGCAATGGTATTTGGGCAAAGCTGATGGAGGAAAGTAAAATAGAAGGACTTTCGTACTTGACTTTGTCTTTCTGGGGTAGTTTTGAAATAGAGCCTACTGTCATAAAGCACCTGGATATTCCAAGTGTGGTTTGTGGGCCACCAACATTGGCATTGCCTGGACATTTGTATGCAGCCTGAAATTCTAAAAGTCCCACTACACAATGTACCAATTTGATTTACGTTAATTCATTGCCTCCGAGTTAGCCAATAATTTGTCTTGATCTTATAAAACAGAACTGTTGTGGTTCTTTTTTTCCCCCCTGCTATTTCCATTTTTAACTTCAGCAAATATAAAATACTTGATTAGGAAACAGTATAACATTGGCTTGTTCAGTTTCCAATTAAGTGTTTTAATAAATTTACTATCTCATGAAAATATGCATAGTATATTTTGTAAAGAATGATTGGAGGTAAAGCAAAGCATATGCTTAAATGGGTGATTTATATATTTTCATAGTTTATTTCTGAATCTGTGTTTTTGTCACTGCAATAACTGGCATCAGTGGCCATAACTGATCTCCTCGGGCCTCTCCATTGCCAGGAGGCAGGGCCCAGATATGCCTCCATGCTCTATCCATCTTTACCTACTCTGGCACTACTAGTTCTTCCTACCAACTCTCCCTCTATTCAGAGCTTGATGACTCATTGCAATGGCCTCAAAGAACTCAAAGATAATCTCAAAATTATGGGGGTAATTAGAGAAGTTAGGAGCCCTAGTGGTGTAATAGTTATGCAATGAGCTGCTAACCTCAAGGTTAGCAGTTGAAATCTACCAGCCACTTGTGGGGAGAAAGATGAAGCTTCCTAATACCATAAATAGTTAGTCTCTGAAACCCACAGGGGCAGTTTTACCCGGCCCTAAAGGGATGCTATGAATTGGCATGAATGTGCTGGCATTGAGTTAGATTTTCAATTTCAGGTAAGTTAATAAGTGACCACGAGTCAGGATCAGTTATTAGTCAAGATACAGGCATTGGTCCACAGCAACACCCCTCCTCAGCCAGCCAGCAAGTCTCTCTCCAGTCCTCTACCTTTCGACTGCACGGTCCCTTGGCCTTCGCTTCCATGGGCCAGGAATCCAGTCCACTGGTTGCTCTGTCCCACAATTCCACAGTCTCCAGAGACTATGGGGAGAAGATATTCCATAGTCTTGATTCTGTTCTGTACTGCAGTCTCTGGTGCATCTGGTCTCAATGACCTTCGCCATTGCAGACAGAAATCTTGCACATGCTCTTTCAAGGTGCTGAACGTCTCTCTCTTTGCTTCAAAGATGCCTTGCCCTCATAGCCTGGGGGCGG